GCATAGGTCAGAGGTAAAAGCGGTGGCGGGGGAGGAGGAGGGGAGAGTCTCTTACATTAAGGCACGCCCACACACACCCCTGCCACACACCACCTAACCTCCCCACACGCATGCACACCTACATAGTCCTCCCATGAATGCACACACACACACGCGCACACACACAACCACCTCCTAACTCACCACACAGATGGAGGTGGTGGTTATTATGCAGTTGATGATGATGATGATGATGATGATGATGATGATGGTGTCAGTTATCCTACATACAAACAATAAAAAACTAAACAAAAGAATATAATGTACTTCCTGGTATACTGTGGGTAATGAAGAGGGTTGTCAGTCATTAATTACACACTGGGACTCACGGTGAAGGCAACACGACACCTCCCCAGTGGATTATAGCAACATTAAGTCCCTCCACCGTATAACAAACACATAAGTTCTCAATCCTACATGACATTGATAAAACAACACAAGATACTCTTTAGGGAAGGAGACAGAAGGGGGGGGGGGGATTGCCAGTGAGTAAATATTGTGATGATATAAAGGACATCAATGTAGCGTGACGTCTAAATGGCTCCACTAACACACACAATATAACACGACTCACAAAGACACATGGGACTGACATTAGAGCAAGGTATGACGTCACACCACGACTATCTATGACGTCAGTCGAGGCAGATACATATTCAGGAGGAGGTAAAGCAAGCCGTGAGGTGCGCGCCTCATTACCCCACACCAGGTGACCTGCCTCACCACCACCACCATTACTCCTCACTCGCCATCACCACCACCACCACTCCTCCCTCACCACCACCACCACTCCTCCCTCACCACCACCACTCCTTCCTCCCCATCACCACCACCACTCCTCCCTCACCACCACCACAAACTTAGGCTATCGTGTTCCCTTAACCTACAGGAGAGAAGAAAGGAAGGAGGGAAGGAAGAGAGGAGGAAGGAGGAAGGAGGAAGGAGGAGAAAGGAAAGGAGGAGAGGAGAAGGAAGGAGGGAAGAAGAGGGAAGGAGAGGAGGTGGAAGGAAGGAGAGGAAGGAGAGGAGGGAGGATAGGAAGAAGAGGAGGGAAGGAGGGGAAGAGGAAACATTAAAACAGTAAATAAGGGAAAGTAGTAATGAGAGGTAGAGGTGGGAGGGAGGATCAATACACGGGCGGTAGGTACCCACCCCACTCACCCTCCATCCCACTCCACCCACCCCACTCACCACTTCCCACCCACACCTACCCATCTTACCACCCCCTACACCCATTTATTTCCATTATCTACCACCCCCGACAACCACGCACTCTCAACATTCACCCACCCACACCCATTATCCCCACCCACCTCCACCACCAATCCAGCCCCCCCCCACCCACTACCACCCCCACCATGTCACTCGCTGATGTACACGACACTGCCACACCACCTCTAGTAAAAAGTAGGACATTCATGTGCACACATATATACACACCACATGAATGCCCACACATATACTATATCATAATTATACGGTACAGTAAGGAAAAACTGACATACACACACACACACACACACACACACACACACACACACACACACACACACACACACACACACACACACACACACACACACACACACACACACACACACACCAATATGGTAAGCTAAAAATACATGTAATTTAATCAGCTCGGAATAAAACCTGAATTGTATGACAGAGGTTGAGTCGCCCTTTCAAATTAACTATTGATTCTGTAGCGGAGTTAACCTAAGACGATGGTGTGGGTGGTGATGCGAGGTGTGGGTGGTGATGCGAGGTGTGGGTGGTGATGCGAGGTGTGGGTGGTGACGCGAGGTGTGGGTGGTGACGCGAGGTGAGTAATGATTTGACACCACCACCAACTACCATCACCACCAACTACCATCACCACCACCTACCATCTAGCACAAGCTTCCCTGGACGACAAGACGCGACTTACACCCATTAATGTATAATATCAGTGGATCAATATAGGCACGGCAATGTGTGTGTGTGTGTGTGTGTGTGTGTGTGTGTGTGTCCAAACAATGAAAACCATGAGTATTATAACAAGCACACCGAGTTATTAATCTATAACCCCCACACGATAATTAATAGTCTCTACCTGTCGTGTACCTGAGTAACTTAAGACAATCAATCATCATTAAGACATTCACCCCAAAAATCATCCTATAACACTAAACACAAAACAGTATAAAGAGTTTTGAGGAGTGGCAGACAAAAACATTTCCTTGACAATAAAAATTCAAGTGACCGAAAAAAATTCCATGACAATAACCTGTAACATGGTCGCCCCAACCCGTATATATGAGTCAAGTCTCTAGTGGTTATCCTCGCAGGCCTAACTAATGTAAGTAATCAACCTGTTATTACCATAATTAGTGCTGTTCGTGGCAATACTAATTCTTTCTTCTACCATGAATGTACAAAGTAAACACGGCCCCCCTCCCTATCCTATCTTGTGAATCCAAAATGTGCGTGTTGACGAGGCTACAAAGAGTCAAGTTTTAGTACCACGACTTTGACTAAACTAAAGTACTTGAGTCTAAAGTAATGTATTGTGTTGTTCATAATAAAAAAGGTGGAGTAATACCTGCTACTTATTTTCATTAATATCAATCTTAATATTATAGCTCGTAGTTTCTCTTTATGACTTTTATTTATTAATTTTAACATTCATTCTCCTACAACACCTGTTCTGTAATTAATCTTAACGTTCTCTTCCAACACCTGCTGAAAAAGAGAGACAGGGGGAGAGAGAGGGGGAACGGAGGAGAGGGAGAGAGGGGGGAAAGGGAGAGAGGGGGAAGGGAAAGAGAGGGGGGAAGGGAGAGAGGGGGGGAAGGGAGAGAGAGGGGAAGGAGAGAGAAGGGTGTGTGTGTGTGGGGAGGGAAGGAGGAGGGTAAGGATCAATGTGTGTGTGTGTGTACAGGTGGCTCATACAGTAATTAGTAAGAGGCACAACACGCACTTGGCCCGTGTGTCACATTGGCTCTCGACAAGGAGGAGAGCCACATATATCCACACTGACTCTCCACGTCAATCACACCAAGTTAAAATGAACAGACTGGACACTATACGTTACTGAGGAAAACCATACGATGATAAGAAGACGCTATATAACATGGTGGGAACTGTGGCTAATAAAACGGTCTGAGCTATCCCACCCCCCCACCCCACCCCACCCCAAAAAAAAAAACATTAAATGAATCAATATATTTCGAAATTTAACATCGGCCGCTTTAATAATGTTTCCAATAATCAACTCAAATGATGACGACTTTTTGTAAGGGGGGGAGGAGGTGGTTGCTCGTGGGGGCCATCTGACGTCACTTAATTGGACATTGCATAGCGGTGGGTGACCTGTACTTGTTGCAATGGTCAAATGCAATTTTTATATTAAGTCTAAAGTGAATACAATGTAGAATAATAGCAAACATAATAGTAATAATTAATCTAGGAGGTTAAAAAGAAAATGACACAGACAAAGCTTTAACACACACACACACGAATAATAATTGTGAGAAACAGCAAAATAAAACTTGTCTATTTTTTCATTCACGTCTACAAACTCCTATTAAATTCCGCCCACTTTTCTCTACCACCACTATTGCTGATTTGGTGGTTGTGAGAGTTAATGGTGGTTGATGGTTGTTATTGGTTGATGATGATAATGGTTAATGGTGGATGATGGTGGTCTATGATGGTTTTTAATGGTGGATGATAAGTTGTTGGTTGATGTTGGTTGATAATTGTTATTGATGGATGGTGATGGACTTTTTATTATACTCGAGGAGTTAAATCATCGTACTCATGGGGTTAAATAATCGTACTTAAGGGGCTAAATTATCGTACTTAAGGGGCTAAATTATCGTACTCAAGGGGGTAAATCATCATACTCAAGGGGGTAAATCCTCGTACTAAAGGGGGCTAAATTATAGCACTCAAGGGGCTAAATCATTGTACTTATATCTTCGAAGTAACACAAATGAAATCAACAAACCTGAACAAACCCAACTTAGTATATCCTAACTTAACCCAACTTAAAATAACCTAACTTAACCCAACTTAATATATCCTAACTTAACCCAACTTAAAATAACCTAACTTAACCCAACTTAATATAACCTGACTTCACCCAATTTATTGTAACCTGATCTTACCCACTTTAATATAACCTAACCCAACTAACCATAACCTAACCCAAACCAACTTGATACTCCTAAACTTAACCGACCCAACTTAATATAACCCAACCATAGCACTTACCACAGTTAATCAAACCCAACCCAGCTTAACTTAACCGAAACTTAACCTAACTTAACGTAAACTAAACTTTACCTAAGCTAAACTGTAACCTATTTAACCTATAATTTATTCCTTAATGTGTTTTTGTACTGATATTTCGGAATAAATTTTGTTAAAGCATCATCATCGTTATACTGTCAGCATGTAAGAGTTGCTGTACTTGTCATGTATTTCAACTAAATGTGTACCCACTCCTTATCTATCAGAACAACTCGTCTTGGGTGTTAACAAGACCAGAACCACTGTGACTCAACACAGTGTTATACACCTATGATAAACAAGTTACGTCACCATCACAAGGTTGACCGCCTCATACAGTTGACTTAGACAACCCCCCCCCCCCACCCCCGGCAAATCCTAACCTTTCCTACAATGCCAGGCGTTAACATAAGATATTTTTTTTATTCTACAAGTAGGAAGAAATTGATTAAGGAGGTTGTATGGTTCTTCGTCCTTACTACAACCTCCTAAATGTTTACCAAAAAAATTAAAACGTTTGCAAAAGTTAGCTCTAAAATTAGAATGAAAATTAGTAGTCACTGATCATCACTTGCCCCGCAACACTCCACTTCATTTACCATCAATAACGGCAGGTTTAATATTTACCTCCAAAAAATGGGATGAAATTAAGTGAAGGAGATGTTAGAAACTGATGTACATACCTGTGAGGTGAGGGAGTCAAGGTGTACCACCACCAACAGGTACCCCAAGTTGGCCTTGTTAAATCACGCGCGCGGTAATATTGGGCTCAGGTAAACACGGAACACAACACACAGTTTCCACTCCAGCCTTTAATATATCAGTGTAACTGGTAACTTGGCTTTGGTATACTCTTGTACTACAGTTCGGGTAGTGGTAGAACTGTGAGGTATATAAAACAGGTAAAAGTTGAAGCAGACGACGGCAGAGGACGTAAACGAGTTACCCAGAGTGAGGGAGAGAGGGGGACTAGATGAACACACCACAGCCACGCTCTGCTCACCCCGACGGTACCAACACCACTGACTGACTGACCGAGCGAGTCAGTCAGTCCAGCCCCCCACACACACACGGCAGACGGGAACCAATCAACCAGGTACAGCACCACCACCACTACTACTAATACTATGACCTTCACACACGCAAGCAATTACTCACTCAACGCCTTGATCATTATAATCCACCCGCAATAGCAGTTGGTCTGTATTTCAAGCTCAAGATTCTGTGTAAGGGGCGAGGCTCATGACAGGTAGAGGGATTGGTGCCGGCATGAGGAGTGGCAACATTGCATCTGCGACCAGCACACCACCTCGTATTATCGGCGTTGACCCTAACTTGTTGTGTTGCTCCACTGACACAACCTGCCACACATTACTACCGCTCACGTGCCTCAAGACAACTTAGACCCGGTGACAGACGCGGCTTATCAATGATGCAGCAGCCACCAACACACTACAGCTTGGCTGGTGATGGTGAAGTCACCTTTAATACTCCTGTCACAACTACTGGCTTTCAACAGTATTGTCTATCGCCGAGGTGACAGGAGGAGGTCATGTCAATCACCATATAAAAACAAACTCAGAGCCTCCGAACGATAGTAACCAGGTAGTTAAGACTCTACCTGTACTGTTACTTTACTAAATTTTCTGAGTAAATTTAAGGCAACACAGGTAATGAGGTAGGCGGTGCCGAGGAGGGGGGTGGTGCCAATGACTCATCCCTTACCTGTGAACTCAGGTGGCGTGGGCGGGGAGGGGGGGGGGGGTCCTCCAATCCCATTAATGGAGGTCTTCCTTACACTTTATATTTAGCCATTTACCAGGCGCTGAAAGGTCAAAAGTAAAGGATGACCTCCCCTAGGAGACAAATCTTCACACACACACACTTCTTGTAACACCAATGGGTAATTAATACAGTAAGTAGTCAGACTTTCACACTTAAGAACGTCGTCTGAAAACGAACTTTAAAGGGCTTTCTTGGGCCTTTCTTGGTTAAATCAACTTACTGTTTATACACATCCATTGTCTATGAACATGTTGAACTCGTAAGACCTTGTACGACGATTTTACAGAAACAAATTTATATTAACCTACAAGAAAAATTTCCCTTCCACTGGTCACACGGGACTGGGTCATCCGTACACTATGATGTCACGGCTACAGGAGTACAAACAGTATATTCCAATGACTATACGAGTTTCACCCTGCCTGCCTGCCAACCTCCCTACCTACCTGCCTATCTGCTTACGTAAATTCCAACCTACTTACCTATGCGTGCCTGCCTGCCTACCTACCCACCTATGTCCCTGCTGCCTATAAAATGAGAAACTATGGTGATCAAATGTTGCAGTACAATGAATTTTGTGCTTCTCTTATTTATTATATAAATCATTCAACCTATTATGAACGCTCAAAATGATTGCCATTAATATGTTAGGCCGCCTGTAAGTGACCCACACTCGCATCAGCTCTTCCTCCGTCACTTTACTCACCACCATATGGGCAGCTTCCCTCAGTCCAGTGCGTCTATGCGATCACCCTGTGTTTCTTGGCAGAGACCCCCAACTGTTAGCTGTTGCAGGGCTAGAGTGCCCAACTGTTATCTGCTGCAGTGCCAATGTTTAATTGTTGCAGTGCCAGTGTCTAATTATTGCAGTGCCAGTGCCTAACGGTTAGCTATTGTAGTGTAAAAGTCCCTAACCGTTAATTGCTGCAGTACTTGACTTGTCACAAATGTTTAGTAGTTTCATGTCTGTTGTAACAAATGTTTAGTAGTTTCATCTCTGTTGTAACAAATGTTTAGTAGTTTCATCTCTGTTGTAACAAATGTTTAGTAGTTTCATCTCTGTTGTAACAAATGTTTAGTAGTTTCATCTCTGTTGTAACAAATGTTTAGTAGTTTCATGTCTGTTGTAACAAATGTTTAGTAGTTTCATCTCTGTTGTAACAAATGTTTAGTAGTTTCATATCTGTTGTAACAAATGTTTAGTAGTTTCATCTCTGTTGTAACAAATGTTTAGTAGTTTCATCTCTGTTGTAACAAATGTTTAGTAGTTTCATCTCTGTTGTAACAAATGTTTAGTAGTTTCATGTCTGTTGTAACAAATGTTTAGTAGTTTCATCTCTGTTGTAACAAATGTTTAGTAGTTTCATCTCTGTTGTAACAAATGTTTAGTAGTTTCATCTCTGTTGTAACAAATATTTCGTAGTTTCATCTCTGTTGTAACAAATGTTTAGTAGTTTCATCTCTGTTGTAACAAATGTTTAGTAGTTTCATCTCTGTTGTAACAAATGTTTAGTAGTTTCATGTCTGTTGTAACAAATGTTTAGTAGTTTCATCTCTGTTGTAACAAATGTTTAGTAGTTTCATCTCTGTTGTAACAAATGTTTAGTAGTTTCATCTCTGTTGTAACATATGTTTAGTAGTTTCATCTCTGTTGTTACAAATGTTTAGTAGTTTTATGTCTGTTGTAACAAATGTTTAGTAGTTTCATCTCTGTTGTAACAAATGTTTAGTAGTTTCATCTCTGTTGTAACAAATGTTTAGTAGTTTCATCTCTGTTGTAACAAATATTTCGTAGTTTCATCTCTGTTGTAACAAATGTTTAGTAGTTTCATCTCTGTTGTAACAAATGTTTAGTAGTTTCATCTCTGTTGTAACAAATGTTTAGTAGTTTCATGTCTGTTGTAACAAATGTTTAGTAGTTTCATCTCTGTTGTAACAAATGTTTAGTAGTTTCATCTGTTGTAACAAATGTTTAGTAGTTTCATCTCTGTTGTAACAAATGTTTAGTAGTTTCATCTCTGTTGTAACAAATGTTTAGTAGTTTCATCTCTGTTGTAACAAATGTTTAGTAGTTTCATCTCTGTTGTAACAAATGTTTAGTAGTTTCATCTCTGTTGTAACAAATGTTTAGTAGTTTCATGTCTGTTGTAACAAATGTTTAGTAGTTTCATCTCTGTTGTAACAAATGTTTAGTAGTTTCATCTCTGTTGTAACAAATGTTTCCAACCACACTAAGTCTTTCATAAAAGTATAACGGGAGATGAACTCAGGCAGCAACAACACCCGTTATATTAACAAGTACTGTAACTCAGAAGAAAATTAAAGCATGATTTGGAAATAAAGTCTAAAAGAGAAGGAAGGAAGTTGAACTTTATGGATCTTGTATTGGAACTATAATTTGATGAGCTTTAATTTTCAGTAAGGTTAGTTTAGTCAGGGTTCATGTCCATTAATAGCTATTTTATTATGAACCTTTGTCTCAATGTTCTTTATACAGTACTAGTGTACGGGGGACCGGTGGTAGAAGCGGTACCGTTCTTGCCTCGCAAGCGAGATGTCACGGGTTCGATTCCCGGGCCGGTGGAAGTTGTTTGGACTTACTTGCTAACCCCCATTAGTCCCTGTTCACCTAGCAGTAAAGTAGGTACCTGTTGTCGAAAGTTGCGAATTCGTATTCAGGGAAAGTTGTTGGAGCTTCCAATAACTTGACGACATAAACCACTGACTCTTCAGGCTTCTACGCCCTTAACTCGTGAGACATAAAGGCAAGCATGAACTTAGCATGATTCCCTGTTGGGCGCTGTAAACGCTTCTGCGCTTCACCTTACACAAGGATGTAGGGGGGTGCCCCCCCCCCCCAAAAAAAGTACTAGTGTACAGTATTTACAATGAAAAAATAAATGATGCACCTAAAATATATAATACAGAAAGGTATTCATAACATATAATACTATATATATAACATAATATTATATAGTATGTACAGTATATAACTGAACCCTCTAATTTGATAGATTTTGGCTCTACCTAAATTTTATCGGCAAATTCGGGCATTTTGTCAAGTTTGGTTTTTTCTACAACTCAAGTGGGTAGTTCAGGCAGTATAAAAAATCAAAATTAGTTTTAATTTTTTCTAAAAATCCTGAAGTACTGTACAGATTACTTTTTGCCTTTGATACTACCATACCTGTACAGTACAGTATCTTTTTTTTCCTTATCATAATGGTAGTTATATTCCAGGCAATGCATACACAGTATACCCAGTAAATAAAATAAAAATATAATCATCAGACATTTCTTCAAAAAAACATTTTAACAAATTTAAAGTTTTAGTTTCCTTCGATATAAATAAAGGGACTACCTATTAGTGTGTGTGTGTGTGTGTGTGTGTGTGTGTGTTACCTAAGTAATCCAGGTGCAGCTGTACTGTACAGTACTGTCTAAAAATGAACAAGACACTCCAGTTACAGTATGTAGTAATAGATTTATATTTAAAGATCTTACTATCTGGTGGGTTTGTAATGAAAATAGTCATTTTGAAATATTGTACTGTACTGTATATGTATCAATAATCTTTTAATAAAATGTACTTGGAGAAAATATTAGCAGATGTACCAATATTGGAAAATTGTAATTTAATTTTTAATTAAATATTCAATTTATAATTTTTATAATTCTGCAAGACAGCAACAGTCTTAGCATTTGAGGTAAGAGGTTACTTGAGAGACATCTCAAACACAGAAATGAATAATTTCACTTAAACTTTTGATAAAAGCAGTTTAAATATGTAAACTGATTTAACAAATGAAACTCAAATGGCTCATATTCAAATTCATAATACTGTAGTACTGTACACCTGTAACAATAAACAGTACAGGCATCCCCTGGGTTAAGGAAGGGATGTGTTCCTCAAAATGTTTCTGAAGGTGAATTTCCATAATGCGGGACCAATTTTTCCATTGACTCCCATTACAGCATATAATTGGGGATGCATTCCCAAGGAAATATTCTTGGCACACATATAAATGAAAATAAAAAAATTAAATAACATGTGCATACAGTATATTGATTAACGTATTTTACGGCGCATAAGATGCACGACCATATAAGACACATCCCCCATTTTAGCAGGGAGTATTTATGAGAGAAAAAAAAATTGTGTGTGTTTTCCTCCCGTAGCCATAGTTTCCTTAAAACAATATAGTATACAGTATCAGTAAATGTGAGGAA